CATAAGGGCGAACTAAGGCCATGCAAAATTAATTAATTGGTTTTCATAACCCGGCTGGGTCAAAATTTGAAAATTTCAAAAAAATTTTTATATAACCTGGTGTGTTTAAAAAAAAAATCGATATAAATTTTATAAAATTTTATATATGAAATTTAAAAAAAAAAGCCGGCCGGCCGGATCTATTTAAAAGTTTCCAAGTTATGAAAACCAGTAATTAAATTTGTATAACCTAATGATGGTTAAAATAGATGCTTTTGATCAAAATATGAAAGAACACACTTTCTGGAGCCTACTATATTACATCAGAGGCACATGCTATCGTGTTAGCTTCGTGTCAGCATGCACGCTACTTCATAGTGGATTTTAACAATCATGATACTAATTTAGTTAGATACTCAATTATACCAAAAAAGAAAATGCCATAAAATTAATTCATTACAAGGTTCCATCGATCTTTCTAACAAATGTGATGGTATTTTATTCCAAAAGGACTATTACGGGAAGATGCGGTCATACATAAGCTGAAATTGTAATGATAGGGTTCTTTATAAAATAACAGCTCTCGCGAGGAAAAAGTAAAAAAAAAAAAAGAAAAAATTCAATAAATATATTTTCCACGGTATTACGAAACCGTATTCACGTGATTGAGATCGTCATAACGTATAAAACACGTAACTTAACTAAATTTTACGAGCCAGCTTGTGAATTTGTCTCTGAACAGGATTCATAGGTCCACGATCATGAAAAATCAAAACACTACAAAAGCAACGAAAGCAAAGCCAATGAAACGATCATTCTTTCGACCAATCAAAGACACTGTAATTTATCTTGGCCCCATACCACGGTCGTCACCACCTTCAAAACCTATCCTTTCACCTGTAAACCAACTTTATTCGAATCCATTCATTATCAATTCTACGCGATATCAGGACGGCCTTGAATTGCTATCTACACTTAATTTTTCTACACACTCATATACTACACAACCTTCTGGAATACATGATCATCCTGAGACACCTTTTGAAATTCCTTGCTCTTCACCATCAATCATCGTTTACAAAAGGCCCACAACTACTACAACACCAAAAAATCTGATTCCTCTCACCATTTCTACAGAAATTCCGTGGAATATTGGTGGACTTGGAAAGATTTTACGTATCTCAATTGTGATCTCAAGAATAGCATTAGGAAAACGGTGGACAACTACCTATGCTAAAATATTTTTGATAGTAGTTATTGCATTACTTGTTATTACAGTTTGTAATGATAAAAAAAATTGTGGGTTGGCATATCCGCATTTGGATTTTGAGAAAAGATTTTAAAATTTCGTGGACCTGGATTTAATTTGTGGATATCTAAAAATTTTATAGTGTATATGGCATACATTTCTAATCTTTGTTTTTGTAGATGTTTTGAACTTTTGAGACACTCTTTGAATTTTATTTTTTCTTGTCGAATTCAAATAAAGTTTTATAAAGTCCTTTAAATTTCTATATTTGCATTCAAATAAAGTTATTGAAGCCTTGGAAACAAAGAGTCTAACGTAATGATTGCATGCCATACTATCCATACTATCATATTTAACCTGTCAAATGATTTATAAATTCCGAACTTTCCCGATGACCTTGTTAGTTCGTTGATTGTCTATTGCTCCGAAATTTTTCGATATTAAACGCATACATATCGATATATACTGTATATTAAGTGGCATGCTACATATTGTAACTATTTTGTTTTTAGGCATGCCTGTGACTCATCCTAGCGCTAGTAATGATGCTTATGATTCTTGAAATTATCCCGACCATCACGTGATAGCGACATATAAAAATTAGTCTCCAACACTTGTAATAAAATAATACGTATATAATCTTGTAAATAAAGATTTAAAATTTAGTATATATATGATTTTTAAATATACTAGAACTTAATTTACCTATACAAAGTGTTGGGCTTGGAATACTGTATGTTCAATAATTTTGACATATGTCCAATACGATCTGTTCAGTCGCGATCAGTTGCCCAATAACTTTTACTAATTTTCTTCTATAAAATGATTTAATGTGAAGTATAAATTATCCCAATAACATTACTCAACCTATATACACTAACTTATTTAGATAAAGTCGGGAGCAGTCTTATGTGAATAACTAACCTTGATGAAAACATGAAAAACGAGAAATACGTAGGTGTCTAAACGTATTTTAGTCACTAAAATGTTAGGAAACAACTTTAACATTTGCATTAATCTTAAATCCTAATCCAACCATAATCACTTTAAGTAATTAGAAAACAGAAATGTATAAATAAATAAAACATTGAACAAAAAATATATAAGACGAATAAAGATTTTTGTTAGACTAACGTATTTTATTTTATGTAATATATAAAATATTCGAGTTTATTAAAAATATACTATATATATATATATATATAGTGGTGTTTACTATATAGTATATATCTCAAAAAATAGCTAATGATTAATACTATATTTGACGTTTAAGAAAAAAAATCACACTAGCTCTAATTTTAACTAACCATAACTTACAACAACACCTAATTCTAAATTTTAGTATATGGGCTTTGCTAGAAATGACCCTCCGAGACTATATAGATTTTATCAAATTTGTTAGTCATCCAATAATCCAATTTAATTAAATTCTTTTTATTTTTTAAGCTTTATAAAATAAAAAAAGGTTATTTAAATTGGATCATTGGATGGCTGGTAAATTTGAATTTTATTAATAAAATCTACGTAGCCTCGGAGGGTCATTTTCCTAGCAAAGATTCCATATAGTCATTATTACCAAAATATATAAGAGGTAATCTATTTTATGAAAGTATTGTATATATTACAAAATTAAAAATATAAAGCAAAAAAATCTTATTTATTATCGCGCACTGAACAATTACTACGAGATCATAGTTCACATGGTCGATAGTTTCATCAAACCAAATAAAAAATGGTTATATTACAAACCAATCTTTAGTACATGAACCCCCTTCGCTATCTATAAGAAACAAAAACGATAATGAGAATAAAAATCATAAATTTATAATATAATTCAAAAGACTTACCAAAATTCTTGTGGGGATCACAATGACATTTGCCAGACTCGTGAAACCATGCTTCGATTGGGCAATGTTGAAAAGGTGGATGCATGTATGCTATATCATTAAAAAAGTGTATTTGTGATTTTTCTAGGAACATAGCAAGTGCTATTGAATGAACTGGAGCATCACCCCAACTTAAAATGGAACATTTTTTTAAATGATAATGTTAATTGATATTAAGAAATTAACTCAATGAAAAAAATTAACTATACCGTTCATAGTAAAATCCACCAGCTTGATCTAGATAATCGAAAAATTTCAGGTACCTTTCACTTCTCCAAAAATTTAGATCACCTATTTCAAAATTGCTCCAAAAATGACAACTATATTAAACAAGCATATTTAGGGGAATAAGGAATAATTAATCCTTAAATAAAAAAACCTTGATATGCAGTAAAGGAAAAAAAAAAGATACCCATTAAAATTAGCACCATTCTTTACAAATCTAATAATATTTTTGGGGGGAATATAATGTGAATAATCTTTCATAAACTTTACAACGGTATCCCACAAAGTAGGAATAGTAGCTTGCACTTCCAAAAGTGAAATGGTAAACCCATATGTTATATTGTTCTTTTGAATAAATCTGAAAGGATCATAATCGACATCACACATAAAATCCACACCAGGTTCTAATCTCCAATAATAATCATATTTTTGTATAAGTTCATGACGAAAGAAAAATCCAGAATTGAACCGGCACATATGACGATATGATTCAGAACCACCATAGATTATTTTTTTTTCTCTCATTTCTTTACGTACATCGGCAGCTTTTGTTTGATTTATCCACGAAGGATAATCCCACATTTCTTTTGGTATTAAACCTATTATCAACAATTATGGAATAAAAATAGAATGTATAAAATTTATATTTAAAAGAATATATGTCGAGATTGGCTGATGCTAAGAATTGAACCTATTTTAATATGAATTTAAAATTTTTTTCTGTATTTTTTTATTTTATTTTATTTTATTTTGGATTCAGTTTTGAAGGTTGATAATAAAAGAGTATATTAGGATTTTAATAGGTTTAGTATATTCAAATAAAGACTCAAATCTTAGCATCAGTATCAATCACGACAATAATTATTAATTCTTATCATATTACCATAATATGTCTCAGAATTAGTCATCTGTTTTGTTAAAGTCTTAAATTCCTGAGTAAATTCTTCATCATTTAAAAATACATAAGGATAATTAAATTTTTTATTCCATCGATCCTCAAAATTTCTCATTGTCTCACGTAATTTATATAGCTCTTTATTTCTTGAAAGAACTATTATAACAGCATTGGCTCGAGAGACGTTTTTCAAGAACAATGACGCATCTTTCATTGGATCAATATATTGAGATTCAAAAAATCGTTGACGACTTATAATAGCAAATTGGATTTGGAAAAATATGTATGAGTACATTACAATTATGAAAAAAATTGATATAATTATGACATAACAAGATTTTCTTTGATTTCTCATTTTTCTTTTTCGAAAACTAAATGTGGCTTCATTATTTATTGTGGTGCTAAGGATTGCAAAACAATATATAAATATATATTTATTTAAGCAAAATTTTGTATAACTGTCGATCAACAATATTGTGAAACGAATTTCCGAGTGGATAGGTTTATTGGGAGAACTTAGTCGCGATTGTAGACGAAAATAAGTGAAGAACTTGCGTTTATTAAACTGAAATTTTGTCTTTTTATAACTTTTACGAATCAAATCACTAACAATTACATCTTCTATTCTGTAGAATCAAAACTCATAATAAATAATGTCTCGGATGATCGTGAAATTACACCTTATTTAATATACAATTTTTAAAATTTTTGGTGTTAGAGTTCTAATCTAAGCATTTATCCGGATCTTACTATCCATTCTCTATCGATATCCGGATAGTTATCCGTAGGGTTATATTTTAAATTAAGGCCCCCAGATTTCACGATCATCCGATTTCACGATCATCCCTTCCAGGGTGATGATCTACCGTCCCCAAAGATCATAAACGATCACGTTATACGATCACGATCATGCGCATACAATATATGCGCGCGAAAAGAATAGATAAAAGAAACTAGTCTCAAGACACGTCCTTACGTCCGTGCTATAAGAATTATAAAGTTAAACTATGATAAAAAATGGTTTTAGTATATCTCATGTCGGTTTCATACAAAATAATTCTATTTTGGATATCACGTATTAAACAATTTTGTGTTGGCATTCGGAATATGTTTAATAAAATTTGGACAAATATTGACATGGACTAATCTAAATAGTGCCATGTTCATATCTCCTTTGCCAAAAATTTCAGAATGTTTCAGGTTAAATGATACAATTGGGCACAAATCGGGTGTCTGATTTTAAGCCGATTGATGTCAATTTTATTGCAACATTAACCATAGCTACCGCAATAAAATTGGACCGGCAGATCCTCGATTTCGATTGGCTAACGGCCGAGGATCTTCAAAATTTTGGTCCACATTATGGTAAAATTGGCCCAGGAACAATTTTCACTTAATGGGCGGCAGCGATTTCATTAGTAAAATTATGAGTAATTCAACCTAATTTTTTGATCGTCGCTCTTAGCCAATCAAAATCGATAATCTGTCGGTCCAATTTTGTTGCGACAAAAATCGACATAGTGATTAGGTGATAATCAGACACCCGATTTGACCTTATTCTGTCTTGAATATTTCGGAGTAGCAAGCTCAAATGTTTGAATTGGACTAAGTGATTTATATCCAATAGAAAAAAAATATGAACAATACGAACATAGTCTATAAATGCCCATTGTGAGGGGTCCAGCTTATTATTATTATTATTATTATTATTATTATTATTATTATTATTATTATTATTATTATTATTATTATTATTATTATTTTATCTTGTATGTAATAAGAATTCAAGTAGTTAACGCGTATTTCAAAGCCTAAGATAGATACTAGACATATCTGACATTTCGTCCACATTTGTCAGATCGGGTATATTGGATATATCTGACATTTCGTTCATATTTGTCAGATCGGGTATATTTGACATATCTGACATATCTGACATAAGTTCTCTTGTAAAAACCTATATTGTACATAGAATGAAAAAGGTATAAAAGCGATGCCTTTGTCGCGTTGAAATAAAGCATAACTCAATTGAGTTCTTAACTTCGAAGCAATAATAGTAGAGGTTGTTCTCTAAGAGATTTCCCTTTGTCGTAAAGTCAATTGTAGTAAACCCATTATTCGCGCCCCCGTGATCTTGCTAAAAATTCGTATTATCAATTTGAGATAAGAATAAGAAAGAAAGCATCGATTAATAATCCAAAAACCCTTTTATAATAAAATACAATTAATTAAACTTCGATCAAACGTCATTGTTACCTCAAATAGAATATAAATCGATACTGTAATTCTGTTTGCAACCATGTGATCCACGTGCCAATCGTTAAGAGCCTTACGATTGGAATCAAATATTGAGCCCCGTTGAGCCAAAACTTAGGAAAGAACGTTATCTTTAGCTTTTAACCGAAGTATACAAACACCAGTAAAAGCTCAACTTAAGGTTATACTTATCTCAATCTCCAATATCGCCACAGCAAGACCCAAGAGACCTTGAAACTCGGACAAGTCTTTCCATGCCTCTTTCAGCCTACCGATTCAAGGTTTTAGGAGTCTCGGATTGTAGTGGAATAATTTTAGTGTTATAGTTTAGATAGTTAGTTAGTTTTAGTTTTAACCCACTTCTTCACCATGCTCATATTTTGTTAACACTGATTTTAAGTGATCTTCAAATAGTAATATATAAAATTTCAACTTAAAAGTTCATTTTGTGAATCTTTTTATTATAATTTGCTTTTGTAACTTTATTAAATGTTTATCTATTCAAAAAAATCAAATAAAAAATTTTGAAAATTGTCATTTAAAATTATAGCTTTAAATATAAATAGTTTCTATTCAATTTTTAATCATGGTTTAGTGGTAAAAAGCATTTCAGCCAATAGATCTGCAACGTGATTCTGTGTTACTATATGATTCTCGTGTTGTTTGTACGGCTACACAAACGAATATAAACAATCAGAAACGTTTTATCGCGGACAGACAGTAATATTATAGACTAGGAAAATGAAAACCATTTAAAGTCCAAATACAAAAAAATCGATTTTATGTTACATCTGATTTAGCCAATAAGCATCGATTATAAAAAACGATTGTTTTGAGCTACACCTAATTTAGCCATCGGGTGCTCTATAATGTCCTTCGGACAATAAAAATTTACCCGACATATTCAAAATACTAATTATAGATCTAATGCATTGTTGATTTAAAATAAAAATTAAAATTCGATTTTCCCAAGCGTAACAAATAGAAAAAATGAGTGCATAAACAAAATATAATATTTTTTTAAAGCTATAAATCAAAAAAGGTGATATTACACAATGGTAGGGCTCTGAAATGTGGAACTATTATCCGGATATCCAAGCAATTCTACAGAAGTATTTACTAATTTCTTAGATACCAATTCTTCCCATCCTATTGAGGAACAATGATGCAGACATTTCTAAGAGTAGTGACTACTTACGGTATTACGGCTATGATGTAAAGGTCGTACTACACCGAGGTTATATTGCCATGAGATAGTTATCGTGAGTGATGTAGTATGCCGTATAGCGGTACTACCCTGAAAATTTCGCTGGCCAATCACATTTCAGCAAACACAAAAAATCAATAGTTTTGTGTTTATGCGCTTTACACAATTATAGTCAATTTTCGTATATCATCCAACCAAGTTGCTGAATATACATAACCAAATCCCAGGATTGGCACATTTGCCCATTGGTATGAATGGACTCCAAGTCCATTGACCAGTTCCATTGGTTCCATTGGACGGTCACTATTCCAATGGACCAATGGACAAGTAGGTAAAATAATTATATAGCTTTTATAAATGAGTTTAGGTTTAGAATACTATACACGTGATATCCGAGATTTTTTTGGTGTTGACCTTATTCTGACTTATGCTAATGGACTAATACATGGATTATGATATTGGTCCATTGAGTTCCATTGACAAACTTATTTTCAATAGACATAGTCCATTGCCAACCCTGCCAAGTCCTTTTTTGCCAATTTCTTTAACGTATAAGCGCGAAATAACGCCTACCTGCGCTAATTAATTGACCTGTGCATTATTTCGAAATAAGAGTAGATTTTCTAAATTCAATACATTCAACCTTCCATAACTGCGTTTTTGGATAAAAGTGCATTTATAGAATATTCATTTGTGGAGTATAATCTACATATACCGTATTCCTCCCGAAAATAAGTACCCCCGAAAAGTAAGCACCCCCTACAGTTCATATATACTCGAAAATAAGCACCTCTTATATAATAGAAATAACTAAATATCAAATCATTCAAATTATTAGTTGAGATTACCGTATTTGCGCGTAATAATGCGCAGGAGTGTAATTTCGAATTTCGGTCTAAATTAAGCTTAATTCGGGCCATGGCTCAAAATAACGCCCCGGCCCGCTATTACGCGCAAATACGGTATACCCGAAAATAAGCAACCTTATAGCAGGAAAGGGTGCTTATTTTCGGAGGAATACGGTAACAACAATATTAAATAATTGTCGCGGTTAAATAATTATATTAGACCGATCAAATTATGTGCACTTATCATTATAGGGAAAGTGCATGTGAAGTGCAATTATAAAGAGTGCACATATATGGAGTGTCGACTGTATATCATTTATCGCAACAATAAATTATGTGCTACATTAGGATGCGCGTTATTTCGGGATTCCCATAGTCAGGGTTGGCAATGGAGCCGCGAATGGAGCCAATGAAGCTCTGAATGGAATCAATGGATATTAGTTTTTTGAGCACCATTCACGTAACCATTTAACTCCATTGGCTCCATTGCCAACTCTGGCCCATAGTGCTAATATCGAGAACATATAAGTTATTTTTGAAGGATCCGATTTTCAAAATAATGCTACGAGCGCTATTTTGCGCTTATACTGTAATTTGTTGAATGAAATCCGTTTAATTGCGTTCCCAGGGTTCTAAACTGAAATTCTCTAATGCAATCATTAATATTCTCATTTTTACTTGTTGGGATCACATGTCAAACGCCATGTGTTGTCCTTATTACGATGTATACTTTTTCCGTATTTAGGTTACTTTAATCATTAAAAAACTTATTGTAATACTCACTGATCGAATAGAAAGGCAATCTGAAGGGTATTAGCTAGTAAATAAGTGTTTGTAAACATGAATCACTTTTTAATCCACCGATTAATAGATCATCGCACTAAATTAAGGCGAATGACGGCATACGGTATACAGCATACAACACTTATACGGCATACAACACTTATACGCGTACGGCATTTATACGGCAAAATATGCCGTATCGCCGTGATATTTTTGCTGGGTAGCTACCCCAAAATTCTATCTGCACCTCTAGTTTAGAGAATATACAAAAAAATTAATGTGTAACAATGATTGATTAATGGAGGGCCCTAGAAAATTTTGAAAAGATAAATCGCAATTTTACTGTATATCGAAATTTTATCCTTTTTCATGCATGTGAGGTTACACGATAAAAATCCGCAAATTTAATTGGTTAACTATTTTCGTCCACCAATTACGGTTGCGTATTTATATGTAACTTCACGTGCAGAAAAAGTGCATTCGTATTTTATATAACGATTTTGAAAGAATGAATATTAAGATATTCAAAAAGTTAAGCATAAGTATTAAGTTTAAACCTTAATACAATGAAACCTCTATAAATGCACCCTCTATAAATGCACGCCCTCTCTAATTGCACGCTCAACCTCTGGCCCAAATATATGCATGACCTCTATAAGTGCACTTTTTCTTATTGTGCACATTGTTAAAGCTCAGTTCTAAGAGCGTGCATTTATGGAGGGTTTACTGTAATAAAGATCTTATCTTATTTTGTATCTTGCGTATTAATTTATTATAAGTAAGTCTTCTGAGTGCGTAGTTATAGACGTGATTTAAGTTAATAGCCATGATATAAATATAAATAGTATAAATTAAATAGCAACTCTGAGAATTACTTTTTAGAATTCCACCTCTAATAAATTATCGATCAATACGATATGCAATAGTTATGTTTTGATCAGCAAAATGATACTAAATTGATTTCGAATAAAAAACAATATTTGGTCATTACCAAACCAATTTTTCCAAAATGATATCGAAATTTTTTATGCAAACGGCGCTTTTTAGCCGTGCCGCTTTTTAGCCGTGCCGCTTTTTTAGCCGTGCCACTTTTTACCCGTGCCGCTTTTTAGCCGGTCAAAATTTTGAAAACTTCTACGTAAAAAAAAAATTTTATATAAATTTAATAAGATTTTATATATAAATTTTTTTTAAAAAAAGCCGTACTAGCCGTGCCGTTTTTTAGCCGAACTGCGACTCCAATTTGATTACTGTTAATTATAAAAAATATTTTCATTTTTTTTATAAAATATGGAGTAACCACAGATGTTTTTTTACTTTTGGTCATTAGAGAAAGAGTGGTAACAACTGTGCTTTATTATTAACTAATTTTATTGTCTTTACGAATCTTACGATATTATCGTCATCGTTATATATACCGGTGGGTGAAAAGGACCTGTACAGGACCTTTTTTATTATCTCCACTAATATAATCTCTTTTATTTATCATGTACAGTCTGTACGTGTGTATAGTTAATAATTAATAATGATTTGATCGAATTATTATTAACGAATAACGACTTAATAATATGTGGCGCAGCTAATTAGTACTAGATGTATAAAAAACGAAAAGTTGCGTCAATATTTTCTCAAAAATTGCTGAGATATTGGCGGACTAAACTTTAATTAAATCTGTTGGTAGTTTATTTAATTCATCATATCGATATTATTAGCGATCGAAGTTATTAACTAGTAATAATATTAATACAGTAAACCCATAAATGCGCGCTCTTAGGACTGAACTTTAACAATGTGCATTTAGAGAACAATAAGTGCACTTATAGAGGTCATGCATATATTTGGGCCAGAGGTTGAGCGTGCAATTAGAGAGGATGTACATTTATAGAGGGTGCATTTATAGAGGTTTCACTGTAGAGAGGGTGTGCATTCATAGAGGGTGCATTTATAGATGTTTCGTAGTATTAATAATCATAGTGATTAAAAAAAAGGGGACTTTTCACCCACCCGGTAGTTTATTACAGTAATTACGACATCGGCTCACAGGGCTTCACGTAATTAGTTCGGCTGGCTCAAAGCTCTGCAGTGCCGTTTGCATCACTACCTGGAGTGCTGATCAAAATTCAGAAAAGTTAGCCCGAAATTGAGTTAAGGTTGGTTATAATGATAATTTTGGTCTATTTTTCAAACCTGTTAGCGCAAGAACATATCTATATATGAGTGTTGTCAATAGAAAACCTGTCATCGGGCTTTCAATGCCGTCTATGGAGATTGCCCATAGAGAACATTGAAAGCCCTATGACAGGTTTTCTATTGACAGCATTCATATATATAGTAAGAAATTCAATCGGATACTAGATTTGGTATTCTGCTAGTTTTGCCACACTTTCCACCCGGACCAATAGAAACTGCAGAAATCGGAAAATTTGCCCGCATTACGTACTAGATAACTACCGCTTGTACGTAGGTCTCCATATCAGTATGTCGATATGATTGTATACATTTATCTCGAAGAATGGTATTTTTTATGTTTTTTATACACGTACTTTTGAGAATATCCTGTTAGTGTAAAACACTGAAACTGGCAAAGTAGAACGTGTAAATAATCACCACCCGTAATTATGCTAATTGGCGGTTTTCGTGGCTTTTAACTCAAATTACGTAATGTTACTCAAAATCGATGGAATATTCTTAAATGTTTCAATAGCATAAGATGTCATTCGACCAACGTTATTCAAACACTTGTACAAACCGTAAATATGATTTTCTAAAATTTCAAACTCCGGGCTTTATCATTAATTCCCAGTTTTATCATGGCAACTTCCTATCGTTATTGTGATACCAAATCCGACCTCGGATCGATAGAGTTAGATATGAATTTTGGTAATTTAATTGATGATACAGATGAAGCAAATGTTATAATCGATGTTGGAGGAGAAAATAATTTAGAGTTCAAATCTTTTAAGGCTCATTCATTGGTATTATGCGAAAGATCTACTTATTTTCGAATTGCGTTATCAGACAAATGGGCCAAGAAGGAAAAAGATTTTTATATTTTTAAAAAGCCGAACGTTGCACCAAAGATTTTTGAAGTCATTTTAAAGTATGCATCATTAACCGTAAGTGGCCGTGTACAAGACTCGGGCAGATTTGTTACATCCAATTTTTAACCCTTTAATAGTATAAAGCATAGTCATAAGAAAATAAAGGTGTATATATACACTGCTTTAATAATGATGATAGCGTTAGATAGAAAAAAAACCAAAAAACCCCCCCGCATTGGATTAACAGAGATCCCATGGTAAAATACCTGGATCTATTATCAAAGGGGATCTTTTATATGGCCATTTACGGTACTATATTGATATATATATTTATTAAATATTTTTTATCTTACTACAGTACTGTATATATAATTAATGTATTAACTAGGTTTATGTATTATGGAAGTGTGAGTTTAGAGCACTTGGATGGTCCGGATTCTATTGCACTGTTAATTGCTTCCGATGAATTAGAACTTCGAAGATTATGTATACATGTACAAACTCATATAAAGAATACACTGAACGATTGGCTCAGCAAAAATCTGATGTTTATTCTTGATATTACATCAAAACATGAAGACTTTGACATACTTCGTGAACATGTACTTGGCATAGTGTGTAGGGATCCTCATTTAATTTTTGGTGTAAATAATGATTATCTATTGCTCTCTGAATCAACCATGATTCATTTACTAAAACGAGATGACTTAGGAATGGATGAAATTGATATTTGGGAATATCTCATAAAATGGGGGATAGAACATGCGACCTCTCTGAGTCAAAATAATCATGATTTAAATAATTGGTCTAAGGATGATTTTGCAGCTCTGGAAGAAACTTTACATAATTGTATACCATTAATTAGATTTTTTCAAATTTCTTCAATTGATTTATATGATAAGGTTAGAGTTCCTTATAAAAAGATTTTACCAAAACAGTTGAATGAGGATATTATTAAATATTTTATGAAACCTGGTTGCGAACTTACTACTAGAATTTTACCTTCTCGTTTGACGATTATAGATTCTACTATTGTCAAAGCAATACATGCTGGACTTATAAGTAGTTGGATTGATGGAATTGTTCATGATAATGATCGTTCAAATTGTAAAATCAATTACAACTTTAATTTACTTGTTCGTGGAAGTCGTGATGGTTTCGATGCGTCGACATTTCATAGTCGGTGTGATGACAAAGTTGGAACTGTGGTAATTATAAAATTAAAGGATAGTAATAAAGTGGTAGGTGGGTATAATCCGTGTGCATGGAAACGAACGTTCTTGGGATCTCTCACCCGAATAGGAGATTATGATAATGCTGTAAATAGTTTTGTGTTTTCGTTTAATGTTAACGATGATTTGAAAAATGCTTTACTAAGTAAGGTTGTGATGGCCAGTAATGCGATTTACTATTCTACTTCAAATGGCCCTTGTTTTGGAAATGGCGATCTTTGGATGACTGGAACTTTTGGTTCATCAAGTAGAACGTCGTATGAGCATAGTATTATGGATGTGCCCAATTTTTTTGCCAATGATTATGAGGTTTTTCAAGTCCAACAGCGGTAAGCTACAAAATTATAGCTCAACCTCCATATAGATGCATCTGAGATGCGAAATTAGTGATAATATAAAGATATAACTTTTGTGGTGTATTTTCTATATACATCTATATTATATATAAAAACTTGATTAAATAAAACTTTTTAGTTATATACTACATATGGTATTTAGTGGTTTTAAATCATGTTAATAGTCATATTAAATGAGGAATCATATTAAAAATTGAATATATATGAGGGATATAAATTTTATAAAACTTTGGGATGTAGTTTAGGTTGATATTAACAATTGTGCCAAGTTTTTTCCAAACTTTGAATAGTGATATCTCGATAACTACTTATCTAAATTCAATAAAATTTTATTTTTATTTTTATAATTCTATAGATTATAAAGAAATTTTTATCGAGATTAGTTAAGTAGTTAATAAGATATTGTCATTCAAAGTTCAAAAACAATTTAGACGATCATCAAAGACCATGCCAAATTTTTTCCAAACTTTGAGTAATAATATCTTGATAACTATTTATTTAAAGTTGATAAAAAATTTTTTAGTTTAATTTTATAAAACTATAGAATTTAAATAAAAAATTTCATCTAGTATAGATAAGTAATTACGTTTAAAAATATATATAAATTTATATTATTTTATAATAGATAAAGAATATAACTTATTTTCACCCATGGTGATATCACCCAGTATTATAAAATTTTTATTATAATAAATTTATATGTAGAGTTAGGCTTAAGCTAAAGTTAGATTAGGGTTTGAGTAAATAGTTTATATATGTAAAATTCAAAACTAAAAACTTTTGCTTAAACATTGAAATATAGTTTTCATAATAAAATTTAGAGTTATTAAGGTTTTTTTAAATTTTTTCTTTTCTTCGCTTTGTTTTGGTTACACAAGATCTAGCAATCTGATTGGTTTTTATGCAACTAGGTGATATCACCTAGGGCAATATCCGATAATAAATACTGTATATAGAAGTAAATTAATAAAAAAAAACAAATTTTTTTTAGATAAAAGCTTATTTTAATTCTATAAAAATTTTTTTTTTTGATATTGAAATGATCTTTTTGTTATATACTTTTATTAAAGTTTTTGTATTTGGTATAATTATAATAAAAGTAGAACTATAGTAGCTACTGCATATATACAACTTTGATTGTTTATTTAAATAGTTTGCTTAAAATTTTATACTAGCTATTATATCTATAATCTGCTAGAAGATTATTTGTTTAAACTTTTTGGTTTTAATCAATTTCACAATATAATTCAAACTCAAATTTTTGATATTATAATAAATCTTAGAACTATTTTATTTATAAAGTAAATCTGTTAAAGTTTTTTTTTTTTTTTTTTGATAACTATATATTAAATTTTATTAAATATTTAATACTTATTACAATTCAAAACTAAGCTATTTAATAGGCAAATTAAACTAATATCTCTTAAAGATGCCCAAGCTTGGTTATTACACTAATATTAGTTACTATATCTTATATACAATGTGGTGTATTTAAAGATATAGTCTAGTCTAGGCTTAGCTTCTATTATATCAGGATTTTTTTTTTTCTTCAAAATTTTCTTTCTTCTCAAGAAGCATGAGACAAAAAAGGAAAAGTTTAAATAAAAAAGTTATAAAAACAACTAGAAAAAGAAAAAAAAAAAAAAAATACAAATTTCAAAAAAATATATATATATATATATATATTTTTTTTTTATAAATTTTGGCAGTCATGCCTTAACTTTATTAGGCTTTGTATTATACTTGTAAGTAATAAAATTTACAATAAGGCATTTCAGAATATAAGTGATAAACTTTTAACTTGTTAGTAAATAGTATATGAAAACTATTTCTAAATAACAAGCACTATAGCTCAAATTGTTATTTAAATTACAAGTTAAGACTAATCCAGTTACCCCAATTGGTACCTATATTCGACCTGCTATAGTAAGATTTTTTTCCATATAGTTTGTTCTGCAATTGAATCAAAATATACTTTAACAGATAGTTCTTACTGCCCGTCATGACTACCTTCTCTTCTTTCAAATTTCTTTTATCTAGGTCTGAGCAGAATAGTTTAACTCTTATTCTTATATAAGAGTAGAAAATATATATCAAGTTTACAAAATACATAAATATTTAGAAAAAAAACAGATAACAGAAAAAAAACCGATTAGCTGCAAATTAGATTAGGAAAGGTTAAAGCACATAGTGGAATAAAAGAAAACGACAAAGCAGACATCCTGGTGAAAGAAGGTGCTTTGCACTCTTCATCTATCTTCCCGAGATAGCCATGGAACAAACGATCAATTTCTGAACTTAAGTGGAAAAACCTAAGAGTAGATGATGCAACAAGAAGCTTCATTACACAACTGACTGCAGTCAGTATTAACACAGAGTGAAAAAATTTAAAGAGTATAAACAAGTGGGTAGAAATGGAGCAAGACTCAAATGTAATCAATTGGAAGGAGGTCTGGAACAACATAGGCCAATTTAAAGGTAGCAACTGCAGAAACTCCGAAGTAAACAAAAAATGTGTGTTCAAAATCAAGTACTTGAACGATCTCCTTCCAACAATGCAAACTCTACACCAAAGAAGAGTGAATATTTACTCAGATAACAAATGCAAAATATGCTAGGAACTAAAAACTAAAACACAAGATCACTTGGCAGAATGCTCAGAACTGCAACGACTATGAAGTATTATCGAGGCGGAGAAAACTATCCTATTTAAAGAAAAGGCCAAGAAAGAAAAAGCAGATTTAAAGGTTCTAGACGTCAAAGAAATAGAAAATACGATCTTTGAAAGTAATATATAGGAAAGATTGGTAACAAGAAGAAAACTAATAAAAGGCCTAATCACGAAGCAAAGAACTAATAGGATTTGCTCAGTCTTGTGGGATTTAATACTAGTTAGCAAGTTTAGCCAAGCAATACTCAACCACATCAGGGACTGCTTCTATAAGCACATTTGGTGTTTTCGCTACGACCTAGTAGCTAAATGGAAAGAAAGACACAGTATCACAAAGTTGGAAAAGAAGACCAAAAAGAAAAGAAAGAAAGAAGGTGTGACAAACAAGGCAGACAAAGAAAATAGCGACCCACAAAGCTTGGAACATATCACGAAAAGAAGCAAAAGAGCTAAAAACAAGTCAAAGGAGGATAAATATGAGGTATTAAAAGAAGAGAAAAAAAAATAGTTGAAGAGTGAATCGCATGGAGGAATAAACCAGCATGGTCCTCGCTAGTCAAAGTTCGTCCAAATATTAAGCGTTACTGACATGGCATACAACGGCCAATTAATGATCGAAGGGGTATCTTTAATCGATACAAAATTCCTAGTAAGTTAGGAATCCTGAGAAAGATAAACAGTTGTTATGGCAGGTCACATTAGGCAAATAGCCTGATGAGTCTTTATTAGAATAGAGCGTTATACTATTTTGATATAGTACTTTGTATAATAGTCATATAGTAGTTCATAAAATAAATAAAGACAGGACCACTTAATATAAAAAAAAAAAGAAAAAAAAACAATCAAAAATTCTAAAAATATTTAATCATAAATAAACAAAGATAAAAAAAGTGAAAAAAAAGAAAGATAGCTATGATACACTATTATAGCCCATGCCTGGTATAAAAATTGTAACTAATTAATATATCTCAATTGTAAAATATTTATTTTATCTTAAGAACTTGTTTCAGGCACTGACTCAACTTAGTATCTTCTAAATAGGATAATGATCTTTTTTTTGTGCTATAGTAATATGATTACAAATAAATAAAATATATAGTTGTATTTTACTGAGTTTATCTGAATTAAATAAATATAAATAATGCCAATCTTTTGGAGAGAGTAAGCCAAGATGCTCACTTTTTGTCAAAATTTTTGGTGAGAATGGCAGAAAGCAAAAAACACACAAGAGACCACTAACATATATTAAAAGAAGTATGAGTCTAATAACAAAAAAAAAATAGTCATTCTATATAAGTCTGCATAGTTACTTATTTCTTTTTAGTAAGTAATAAACTCTGAACTTGTTAGCAGATAGTGTATAAGAACTATCTATAAATGACAAGTGCCATGAGCTACAATAAGTGATAAACTCTAAACTTGTTAGCAAGTAGCATATGAGAACTATTTTTAAATAACAAGTGCTATCTTATACTCCTTTTTATGTATTTTACTTTAAACTTGTATGTAGTCTTGCAGTACTTTATTGTTTTTTAATCAGAAATTATAGTTTAGATGATCATCAAAAAGAGTTGAATATAAAATGAAAAAATATACAGTATATATATTAGGCTATACAAACTTAATAAATCGGTTCTTATAACCCGGCCAAGTCAAAATTTCCAAAACTCTAAAAAAAAATTTCAAGTATACTTACTATCTAGGTGAGTTTTTTAAAAAAAAATTTAAAAAAATTTTATGTTATTTATATATAAAATTTTTTGAAAATAAAATTAAAAGCCAGGTTGCCAGATCACTTTTAAAAATTTTATGTTATGAAAACCGATTTATTAAATTTGTATGGCCTTATAAAAAGAAATTTAAAACTTTAAAGAATCTATTATAACTTTATATAGCTAATAAAAATTATATACCAAATACAATATTTGTATATTTCTCTTGTAAAGCTTTGCTTTAATATTAAATTTACTTTCTAACTTTTCTATTAACTCTAAATAGCTTTATTATCTGTTCTAATCTGTACCTCAAGCTAGGTGATATTTCAAAACACCTGCTATTATACTTAGAGTTTTCAGACTAGATTCTATAAAGTAGCATTATATTTGTTTATAAACAAACATGCAGTTGCATTCTACAGTACTAGTCTGTCTAAATTTGGAAAGTAAATATTTAGTTCAGGTTCATAAATTTAAAGTTCAATTTAAGTTTAGGTTCAATAATTTGCAAAATTTAAAATTTAGATTTATTGAACCTGAACCTAAACTAAACTGAACCTAGAAACCCTAGTTTATCTAATTATTATAAAG